GACCAGAGAAATTTAGGTTTTAGTCAAGAAAAAGGAAGCATTTGTCAGGTATAGACAGCAGGGATCAAGCAAATCCTTACAAAAATATACTTCTGTTGCCTTTATACTGAAGAGGGAAATCAGGAGGGCAAAAACAGGACATGAGATACTTTTGGCATATAGGGTTAAGAAGAATCCAAAGGGATTCTACAAATATATTAAAGACAAGAGAGAGAATAGGGCCCTTTAAAGATCAGCAAGGCCGCCTAAGTGTGGAACCACAGAAGAAGATGGGGGAGATACTAAACAAGCATTTTGCATCAATGTTTACTATGGAGAAGGATATGGAGATAAAGAACTTGGGGAAATTAATAGCAACATTTTGAAAAATGTCCATGTTCCACAGGAGGTGGTGCTAGACATGTTACAAAGCATAAAGATGGATTAGTCCATGGGGTCTGATAGGTGTACCCTAGAGCTTTGTATTATCAATAGCCATGGGCGAGTGCTGGAAGTCTGAAGGTTGGCTGAAGTGGTGCAATTATTTAAGGAAGGTAGTAAGGAAAAGCCAGGCAACTATAAACTGGTGAGCCTGATGACAGTAGTGGACAAGTTGTTGGAGGGGATTCTGAGGGACAGAATTTACATTTATTTGGAAAGGCAAAGACTGATTAGGGTTGGTCAACATGGCTTTGTGTGTGGGAAATTATGTCTCACTAACTTGATTTGAGTTTTTTGAAGTGATGAAGAGGATTGAAGGCAGCAGAGCAGTGGACGTTGTTCATGTGGACTTCAGTAACATGTTCGACACAGTTCTGCATGGTAAACTAGTTAGCAAGGTTAGATTGCATGGAATACAGGGAGAACTAGCCATTTAGATACAAAATTGGCTCAAAGGTAGAAGCCAGAAGGTGGTATGGAGGGTTGCTTTTCAGACTGGAGGCTTGTGATTAGTGGCGTGCTGCAAGGATTGGCACTGGGTCCACTGCTTTCTGTCATTTATATAAATAATTTATATATGAATATAGCAGGTATGGTTAGTAAGTTTGCAGATGACTCCAAAATTGGTGGTGTAGTGGACAGCAAAGAATGTTACTTAAGAGTACAACAGGGCCTTGATCAGATGGGCTGAGGAGTGGCAGATGGATTTTAATCTAGATAAATGTGAGGTGATACATTTTGGTAGGGCAGGACCTATACACTTAATGGTAAGATCCTGGGGAATGTTGCCAAACAAAGAGACCTTATGGTGCAGGTTCATGAACATTGCCTGAAAGTGCAGTCATGGGAAGACAGGGTAGTGAAGGTGGTGTTTAGTATGTTTGCCTTTATTGGTCAGTGCATTGAGTTCAGGAGTTGGGAGGTCATGTTGTAGCTGTACAAGACATAGGCTAGGCCATTTTTTGGAATACTGTATTAAATTCTGGTCTCCCCGCTACAGGAAAGATGTTGTGAAACTTGAAAGGGTTCAGAAAAGATTTACAATGATGTTGCCAGGGTTGGAGGGTTTGAGCTATAGGGAGAGGCTGAATACGCTGGGGTAATTTCCCCTGGAGTGTCAGAGGCTGGGGGGTGCGATCTTATAGATGTTTATAAAATCATGAGGGGCATGGAGAGGGTGAATATTCAAGGACTTTCCCCAGGGTAGGGGATTCCAAACTAGAAGGCATAGGTTTATGGTGAGAGGGGATAGATTTGAAAGGGACCTAAGGGGCAATTTTTTCACGTGGAGGGTGGTGGGTGTGTGGAATGAACAGCAAGAAGAAATGGTGAAGGCTGGCACAATTACAACATTTAAAAGGCAACTGAATGGGTATATGAATAGGAAGGATTTATAGGGATATGGGCCAAATGGGATATCTGGTTGGCATGGATGACTTGGATCAAAAGATCTGTTTCCGTGCTGTAAACTCTATGACTAATAAAATTTGAACACAAAAGAGAGTCAAGGGACTTGGAGATAAGACAGGCAAGTGGGGTTCATGCAGAAGATCATCCATAATCTTACTGAATGGCAAAACAAGTTCAAGGGGCAGTTGGCTTCTTATTTTATGAAATGCTTTTGGACATCCTGTGGTTGAGATTCCTTGGCTGAATTCTACATCTTGCCATGGTTTGCCTTTGCTAAAAATTCACTGCAAGTTTGTCCACTACCCCATTAGCTGCCCCACAGCAATTTAATTCAAAAATAATTACATTAGTGGGAGACTTCTGCCTGGACTTGGAGTGGTGTCCTAGGGCCAACCATCTTTTGCTGCTTAATCACTGACCTTCCTTCCATTAAAAGGTCAGAAGTGGAAATCTTTGCTGATGATTACACAAGTTCAGCACCATTCATGACTTGTTAGATACTGAAGCAGTCCACGTTCAAATGCAACGTGATCTAGACACTATCCAGGGCTAAGGTGACAAATTGCATGTACATTTGTGCCATACAAATGCCAGGCAATGACCGTCTTCAATAAGAGAAGATCTAACCACCACTCCTTGACATTCAATGGTGTTACCACCACAGGATCCCCACCATCAACATTCTGAGGCTAAACATTGACCAGAAACTCAACTGGACTCACCACATAAATACATTGGCTACAAGAACAGGTCAGAGGCTGGGAATACTGTGGTGAGTAATTCATCTCCTGACTTTCCAAACCCTGCCCATCATCTACAAGGCACAAGGCAGGAGTGTGATGGAATATTCCCCACTTGACTGGTGGGTGCAGCTTCAACAATGCTCAAAAAGCTTGACATCATCCAAGACAAAGCAGTTCACTTAATTGGCACCACATGCACTCCCTCTGCCACCAACGCTCAGTACATGCTGCTGCTTCTATCTACAAGATGCACTGCAGAAATTCACCAAAGATCCTCAGAGAGCACAATCATTCCATCCAGAATAGCAAGGGCAGCAGATACATGGGGACACTATCACCTGCAAGTTTCCCTCCAAACCACTCACCATCCTAACTTGTAAATATATCACCCGTTCTTCACTGTGCCTGGGTCAAATTCCTGGAATTCCCTTCCTAAGTTCATTGTGGGTCAACTACAGAATGTGGACTGTAGGGGCTCAAGAAGGCTGCTCACCATCACCTTCCCACGGGCAACTACAAATGGGCAATAAATACTGGTCAGCCAATGATGCCCATATCCCACAAGTGAATAAGCAGAAAGATAACTCTCTTTGGAGAGCTACCAACCTGGCCAGCAGATTTGTAGTGCCGTGGCAATAGCTGGAACTAAAGGCAGTCCCACCATGGCGAGATGCCCAGGTTAGTTAAGAGTTGGGAGTCAGTGAGTGAGAATGGTGGCCATTCTGGCATCAAGAGTGCTGAGGGATGTTTAAAGGTAATATTTGTAGGACTGCCTCCAAAGCAATCCACAAGTAAGTTACCCCACCCCACCGACTGATCAACCCCATCCCCTCCACTTGCACTGCGACACCAGCCTACATTACAAAGGATAAACTCTCATTGCCGGTCAAATGCTGGCAGGAGGATGTCTTTAAGTGAGCATTAATTGTCTCCTTAAGGGCCTCAATAGTCCCACATGCAGGGAAGCCAAATGCCTCCCCTGCTTCCATAAAATTTCGGATATTGGGGCACATGAATAAGTGGCAGCAAATCTACCTGCTGGAATTTATTCATCCTCCCTTCCCACCCTTCACCCACCAGCAGTGAAGCGTAACATCAGCCCCTCCTTTTGTAAGAACAACATAACATTTGCTCATATTGCATGTTAACATTTTAAGCGCATAATGGAACCATCCTTTCCTTTCTCAATAGTGCAACTGTAGTTGCTGAGGTAGAAATATTCTGTAATCTGCCAATATCGAGATATGTAGTTGAGACAGTAGCAGCAATCACATTAACAGCAAGTTACATTCAGTTTATCATCTCTTTGGAATGACGGATGTTACACACAAGGATCCCGAATTTGTTGGAACAGTATGATAGCTAATGCTGTAAGTTGAATTCCATAGATAGTAGGAACTGCAGATGCTGGAGAATCTGAGATAACAAGGTGTAGAGCTGGATGAACACAGCAGGCCAAGCAGAATCAGAGGAGCAGGAAAGCTGACGTTTCCGGCCTAGACCCTTCTTCAGAAAAATTTAATTCCGTGTTTATTTTGCACTATCACAGAAATTTTGAACTGTAATGACAGGTGTTAATAATGAGTCAGGGACTTTACAGATAAAACAGCTAATGGCTTACCTTGCTAATTAATATAAAGAAAACAGTACAGGTAGTTCTCCTATAACACGATAGTTGCGTTCTTATGTGACCTCGTGCTATAGAAAATTGCCTTAGAATATTGTGTTATAGGAAAATCACTATACCTGTACAGCAGAAGGTTCATGTTATCCAGACAGCGTCCACTGTTCATCAATCGCGTTACAGCCAATGTGCGTTAACAAAACACGCGTTATAGCAGAACTACTTGTACCGTTATTCAGATTGAGACACAGCCGAGAGGCAAATTAGTTGCAACAATTGAGATTGCCGTACATCACTGTTTCTGATGAAAAATTGCATAATCCAGGAAAAGGTCAATCGCCATTGACCACAACGATGGGCTCAGTGATGACAGCAAATTTTTATTGATTTAGGAAGTCATATTAGTAGAACCTTCTTAATATTCTAGCAAATTATTATACAATGCAAATCATGATGAATCTGAATAAGAAAGATACAGCTGAATCTTATGTTGATTTTGGCTAAGTGTAAATTGTGTCAAGAGTTTTGGAACGTTTGCCACTGTGAGATTTAAGAGTCTTATTGCTCTATCTTAACAAACAAGCTGCATTAACTACCTATCCTGCTCCATGGTGTGTATCACGTCTGATTTCTGCTCCAAGTTATTCACTATTCCTAACAGCAACTTGGCACTCAGCAGATATCCACCCCCAGACAAATATGGCAGCTTTGAAATGCCAGTTCTCATTGATGGACAGAATCAGAACCTGGCAAATTTGGGGACCAAATCACCGCGTTTCTCTGACAGGGACCTGGAGGACCTAATGGACAGGTTGGTGCAAATTAGAGGTGTTCTCTTCCTGGAAGACTAGCAGAGGTGCACCAGTAGACACTGCCAGTCGGTTCTGAGTTATTGTGGAGGAACAGCCTGTAGTCCTGGAAAGAAGGTCAATTGCCTTTCCAACTCTAGCAGGGTAGTGTGCCACTCTTCTCTCTGCTTCCTCCGACTTTCTTTCTGCTACTACATCCACTTTCCACCAACGCTCACATTCTGCCACCCTCACGATTACATGCAACATCTTACCTCGCTCACACTTTTTTCTCATCAACCTCCCACATTAATAAACTTGCACGTCCTCTGCGCTGCCTCCTCAGTCTTTCATTAAACCTCACTGCATTTTCCCCAAAGCCATTATCTTCAGTTTTGTCATGATTTCTATAGACAGGATTGTGCAGATTGTGACTTACAGCAGCTGTGTGGGAATGTAATATGGTAGCAACAGAGATGTGGATGAAAAATGTGAGTGTTCAAAGAGGGTAGATGAGATGGCAGTACTGACTAGGAAAGATATTGTACTCTTGGAAAGAGGGCATGTGCTTGGAGCAAGTACAGAATCAATCCGATCAGAGTTGACAGCAATAAGATCAGTCATGATTTTATTGAATGGCAGAGCAGATGCATAGAGTCATAGATTAATATAGCATGGAAACAGGCCCTTCAGCCCAAACTGGTCCATGCTGACTCAGCTAGTTCCAATTGCCCGCATTGGGTCCATATCCCCAAGAATGACCTACTTCTACTCCTGATTTGTTTGGATTTTCGTATTACACAACTGGGACAATTCTATAGGTCTCTCTCAACACTCACCCAGCATGACAAGAGATACTGAATGCATCACAGTTATTTTGGAGAGACAGACCTAAATGCTTTTTACATGTGCAAGGCAAATAAATAGATTCTCGTGAGACGTGAAATAATTTGAATGAAGAGAAACCAATGATAGATTGTTGTAGCAAGGATTGGGGAAGTAAAAATGCAACCAAACCACACTAAGTCTGTACAACACAGTAAAGTTCTTGGATGAAGATGGTGTGGTCAATCGTGTCAAAAGCTACAGAAAGGTAAAAGACAAAAAAGTGTGCAAATTGAAATAGAAATGTGGTGAAACAAACAGGCTGCTATGTTGATAGGGTGAAAGGAAATAGTGTAAATAGATTTGAATGTGGGTCCCAAGAGGGAATTAGATTACTATCTTAATAGAAGGCAGCTGGGGAGCGGCAACAGGGGAATTGCTCTTTCAGAGAGCTGGCAAAGACACAATGAGCTAAATAGCTGCCACTTGAATTGCAACCATTCTATGATTTTATGAGATTAAATAACTAGCATGGGATTAATCTTATATGGATCACAAGCATTAGCACCAATTTCTTTGCTTCTTGAATGTAACATAAGGAGGGATAATATACCATGGTTTTTGCCACAGCTGATGCCATTTGTTGTTGATTTGGGCTGTTGTGGTGCAGAATGCAGAAGCAGGAACTTGAGTGGCAGGATGGATATGGATTTGGGAGGCACTACTATCAGTAACTTGGAAGAGAGCTTACTGATAGAATATTATGTTGCGAGTAAAGAGAAGTTGAATGTAGGTTTTAAGGGGGGATACTGAAAGGAGGGTGAAAGCAAGTGAGAAGAGGAAGTCATTTTACAGAATACCCTGGAACTGCATTTACAGTATAACTGCAATAATGGAAGAAACTATTTCATCTTGTTGTAAAAATTTGTGCATGTTGGAATCAAGAGAACATACAGCACATAATTTGCCATCAGGGGAACTAAAAGCCCCCAGTTTCCAGCTCAATCCCAAACCCAATGTTTTAAATTTTCCTAATCAGATTCATATTTCTAGTTTTCAAAATTTTCATAAAGTCAATGCAGCATCTATTAATATGTTTAGGCACAGGAATCCGTATTGGTCTTCAATGTAATTAAGTGGACTTGTTCCGTGAAGGAATCCAGACCCCACATTCTCTGTCTGTCAGTCAAAGCATCTGATGATTGTAACAGCTGAATGTTGCATGACTGGCCTGTAAGAAGAGCATCAACAATAATTTACTTCATAGCCTAAAGCTTAAAGTGGCAGTTTTTCAAAATATTAAATTGTATGAAGTAAAGATATTAGAGGGAGAAATAGCAAATTAATTTTCAAGAAGTGACTGAACTGACATCAAGTTATTATTGACAGGGAAATTCCATTATCTACTTTGAAAAGTTCACGTTAAAATGTCAACATAAATAATGTCACAAAAATGGTGACGACATTCAAAATGTTTCAGGTTGAATACAAACCTCAAGCATTTGTTAGCTTTGTTAAATTTACTTGTAGCAATTTAGTTATTTTCTTTCCTTTGTCATCCACCAAACAATTTTGTAGAGAATGGAACCAATTTGTCTTTATAACCTAAGAGTTATACTTGTATATATTGAACCAAGATACCTTTCCTGAGGATTGATTACACCAGGGCAAAAACAACGAGGTGCACTTCAACCTGATATCTCGCTCTTTTTATTCGGCATGTGGAAAATTGGACAGTTTCAGACTTAAAGGTCTGTCGGGAAGCTCCATCTTGCAAATTTTACTCTTTCTTTTAGCGTCAAAGTTTTTTTTAAACCTATTACCCGAATGACATCAAGAACAGATTCCCACATTTCCATGGAATTAGTGTAAGACATTTATTATGATTGGCACAGTTTAGTTAAAAATATATAATTTTTACAATTTGGATCGTTTTGAAAAGACAGGCCTATGGATGTAGATTAGTACCTTGAAGGTCTTTTCATTTAAAAGAAAGGTCACTGTCATTCTGAAACAGTGACCTAAATGCACTAATTCCAAGAAGACACATGACTGCAATCAAGGGCCTAACAGAACCCATGGAGTGTTTAGGGAACAAGATATTCATGATTTTCAGTTCATTACATGCAGCGTAGTCATTTTAAGCCATCAATTTTGTTTTGACTTCAGAACAGAAAATATCAGAGTTTTAGTTGAGAAGAATCATGAGTTGAGTTCAGAAACAAGTTTTAGTTTCTCTCCTAGCAAGGAAACAGACTTTAGTTCAGTTCCATTCAGAGGAAACCAGTCACTACAGCAGAAGTTTTCTTTTACAAAGTTTAAGAAGTCTGTAGGCCAAGAGAATTTGGCACAGAAAACTTTCAGTTTTTGGAACTGAAAATATTTTGGTTATCAGAATTGTGAAAAGTCCATGCCATCAGATCCAGAGAGGAATTGTTAAACTGCCTCTACAGTTTAAGAACGAGAAACTAGAAGGAATTAGTTAAGTGGAAATTTAAAGAGTTGAGATTGGAGCATAACTACTCTGGACTTGGGTCCATGTAACAGATTGTTATTGGGAAGGAAGTTGAAACTTTATTCTTCAGGTCTTCTAATTGTTGTATATTTAAATTGCTTTGCTTGCTTTCTTTCATATAATAAACTTATGGTTTGTTGTTAAAGAACATCTACAGCTTCATGTAAATATCTTTAGTGACTAATCACCATGTTAACTAACGAACAAAAATATTAAACATATGATCTATCAAGAAAGGTTTTATTCTGATATTTGCCTTGTCCAATAGTACCATCAGCTGGGATCATAACAACAATCTTTAATTCTCATAAAATCCTTTAAACAAACTCACCATAGAGGTCATGAATTACATGTGGGGGAGTAGAAAATGGTGGACCTACAAAAAACAATGCAATTTACATTTAAGGTACTAATTTAAAATCAAGTGATCAAAAATATACACAATACAAAGAAAAGTTACGACCACTCTACAGATGAACAACTGTGGTTGGGATGCAAACGAGAACTCGTGGGACAGTAGCAAAGTGGTAATGTTACTTGACTATTGGAGGCCTGACCTAATACTGAGGCATGAACTGAAATCCCACCTATTGTTTGAATTTAAATTGAATTAAATTGATAAATCTGAATAAAAAGCTGTTGTAAAAACCTATCTGGTTTCACTAATGTCTTTTAGGGAAGAAAATTTGCTATCCTTACCCAGTCTGGCCTACTTTTAACTCCAGGTTGACTATTCTTGGAAAGTACTTGGATGTATCAAACTGCAACAAAGAGAATGAATAAACAGAACAAAAACTGATCTGATCAACCACCCTCTAGATGACAAAGACACACCCAGCCCAGTTGACTCTGCAAAGCGCTCTTCATGCACACCTGGGGACTTATGCCAAACTTGATGTCATGCAATAGCCTTGAAACAGTCATCAAATCTTATCTTATCTAGTGGCAATGACCCAGTCTCAGCTGCCACCATTACTGTCCCACTGAAATTACAGGTGGCAGCAGAGATGCAAAAGGTTGGGAAGCAGTGGTCCTGGGAATCTTCAAAATTAACTCCAGACCTATTAAGTATTACTGCATCAGGTCAAATGGGGGCAAGGAACCTCCTGCTAATTATCACCTACCTCCCTTCCTCTGATGAATTAGTACCCTTTCTTATTGAACACCACTTGGAAGAAGCATTGAGGATATCAAGGACACAGATTAAAGTCCCAGATCTACTGTACAACTTTCATGACCAAGAGTGGTTCCGGCAGAGTCCAAAGGATAGAGCTGCAGACTGAACTTGTGACAGGTGCCGAGAGAAATGACACATCGCTATCAGTCACAGATGCATTTGTCCATAGTATCAGCAGGAATCACCACTGTACAGTACATATTGAGATGAAACTGAATTAGCAAACTCAGAATGTTCTTCTTTGCATTGTGTGACACTGCCACTATGCTGAACAGGATAGATTCCAAACAAATATAGTAGCTCAAAACTGGAAATCCATGAGGCAATTTGGCCCACCCAGGGCAGCAGAATTATATTCAGCTTTAAATTGTAACTTCATGGTTCAGTATATCACTCACTCTACCATCCCCATTAAACAAGAAGAGTCAACAATGAGGAGTATAGGTCAGCATGCCAACTCACTGAATCTACAACATACATATACATGCATATTAAACAACTGGACCCACATAGAATGAACAGAGCAAACGGTCCCACACAAATGGA